CGGCCGGGCCGTGGGGAGAGGAGGGAGTCAGTGTGCTTCGGTGGGAGAAGAATTTTCTCGGTCCTGTTTAGCAGCCAGAGATTGCTGTGCTGCTTGTCTTGCCCCAAAAGGAGTAATGTAGACTTGAATTTAAACAGTTACTACTCTCCTGTCCAGTCGTCAGTGTAATAATGCTTTATATGTTGCTTTACCTTTCCCTTAGGCTTTCTCTTTACTCTTCCAATTATAATGAACTAATAGCTAAATGACAGTGTGTGGTGGTTGGGTTTGTTTGGTGTTTTTTTTAAATTATTTTTATTTTATAAGCCTATGCTTGGTACAATTTCACAGTCACTGTCTATTTGAGACCTTCTGCTAAATCCCCTTTATCTCTTAGTTTTTTTTCACAAATAAAGCTCCTGCAGCTTTTAGGAGTTGTTTTTGGTTTTGTTTTTTTTCAGTCTAAGTGTTGATAGAAAAACTTTGGAATTATACAGTCTCATAGCAGACCCACCTGATATGTGACCAAGAGGTAAAGCTGTCTGGTCTTTAGTTTCAGATACCCTAATATTTTCTTCTTGAAATCACTAATTTCCCCTTTATGCCTTAAAGGAAAGTTTCTTCATTATGAAAGCTCTGTGAGTGCTACAGCTAATATTGCTAATGTATTTTTTTGTTTTTTGCAAGAACATATTTATGCATTCTGGAGACCTAAGTCTAAAGCCAAAAAAGACCCCAATACCCATGCATTAATTGTTTTGAGAATGACATCCTAGCTGTTCTTTCCTGGCATGTAAAGTTAATACTTCACGGGGTCAGCTTGAAAAACCAAGGTGCTGTAGCCAAGAGGATACTTCTCCAAAGCATTAGCTTTTAGCACTGAATAAAGGTTAACAAGAAGTCTGTTTAGTTGGATCATATCTCCTGTATTTTTAGATTCTATTGAGGTAGCTTCCTCAAAGACTTGTCCCTGGAGTACTGCCGTTGTCCTAAAACACCCATTGTCCTTTTTTTTTCAAAGCCAGATTAACTGTTTTACTGATGTTAATAACTATGAAAGTAGAGCAGCTATTTGTGTGTTGGTGGGTGCTTGAGGTATAATGGTAGATGATAGATGACCATATACTTATTGGTATATAGCTTGTGGTAGTATTTTTGGGAACAACGTCTGTCTACCTTTCCATGTAACTGGAAAGAATTTTTATTTCCCAAATCATAGAACCATACGAGAAAAAAAAAGCAACCACAGATGTAACTTCACTGTTTGTAGCATCACTGAAAATGGTATCAATAACATCTTTGGAAATCATTGTGAAGAGAGCTTGAACTCGATTTAAGAATCAAATATTGCATTTGCCCTTCTTATTCCTAAGGATCTTTCTTGAGTTCAAAGAATCTTTAATTTAGTCCTGAAGCAGCAAGGTTTCTCCTTCTGAAATGAGAAGCCACTTGCCTAGGGCTGTGCAGTGGACGTGTACTACAGGCACACGGAAATAGAGATGTATTGTCTTGAATGATGCTGCTCACAGTCCCAAGGGGATGTACTTCTCAGTGGTTCCTATACTCTTCCTCTGCATTTCCTTTTTGATCCTTGTGTTTGTAAATAACAATCACTTGGCAAGTTCCAGATGTTGAAGTGAGTGTCTGGTGACACAAATTGGATGTGTTACCTTTTAAGTCTCTGGATATGCTCATAGGAATCTTGTCAAAAATGTAGCTCATTATTTCGTCTGCGCCTTTGCATTCCCATTACGTAGCGCAGGTGAGATGTGTTCCTTTTTCCTCATTTTGTGATCAAAACATACAGTTAACTTTTTAAACATCTTACAGGTATTGCTGCGTTTGGAAGAATTGAAACTAACTGCTTCAGAGCCAGGACTGAGTGCACAGGCATAACCTCTTCAAGTTTCTAATAATAACGTTTCCTGTCTCCAGAGGAGGTCCAAGAAGGCAGACCTGGGCACTGGTGCTTGAAGGCATTCGTGCCTCCTCTTGTCCGCCTGCCTCAGAGTTTCTTAAGATAGTTTGCTTGGTTACTATAACATTAACCATTGAACTTATCATTAAATAGTAACAAATCATGGTGACTTAGTATTTGTTTCTTTTCAGTTACCCACGGATGTATAGTCTCCACAATCAAACTGTTTCTTCCAGATGGAATGGAAGCTCGATTGCGATCAGAGTAAGAATGAGTATCTATTCATGTGTAGCGAAATATAAACTACTGTATAATGAGGATTTGATGGATATTGTGTTTCAGATCAGCATAGGAACATTTTATTTTCCAGTGATGATGCAAAGAAAGTAACTGAAAGCACGGTTCTTTTGCAGGTGTTATGAAAAAGGAATCTCATTTGCTTGTTGCTTTTAGAAATTAAGACAACTATGAAAGAATAAAAAGTTTCTACAAAAGAATAAGTTCTTATCCAGTTGGGCTCTTCTGACGGTTTGTGGTTTAGTGTACTGGAATGGGTATTATAAATGGAAGAATATAGGAAAAAGAAAGTAGATAAGCATTCTCCTTCCCTCTTTTCTATTTGGGATTATTATTTTTGCTCCTTTAAATACATGTAGACTTTACAGAAGTGAGGTTAATGGTGTGTGTACATGTAACACTTTATATTCATTCGATAAGTAATACAGTAATGTGGTCTGGTTGTTTGGTGTCACAATGAGAGAAAGCTTTGCCTGGCATGAAGAAAAAAAATTATAAAATATGTTGGATGGAATAATGTTTGGAAACTCAGATGAATATTGAGAGTTTTTTTGTGTATACGTGCACATTCTGGAGAAAATTTCAAAAAGTAGTAGGAAAAAAAAAGTAAATATTTAGTTTGCAGTAACCAAGTGCCAGTTATAAATGATATAATTTTGATCACCTTTCATCCTCAGCAATTGTATGGTTCTGATGATTTATTTAGGGTTTTTTTTATTGTTAGTATCCAGAAATATTTGCATGAAGCTTTAGGGTGTCTTTCCTTCTGGAAAGATTAGTCAAAATAAATTCTTGTGGGAAATCTTCCATGTTATTGCATGTTCTAATAAGAAATAATAGAAATGCGTGGTGTTAAATTTTCAGTTCTGATGAAAACGTTCAAGTTTAACATTTGCTGTAGTGGAAATGTACAAAATTCCATAAGTTACCAAATGTTATTTTACTCAGTTTGTTGAATTTGTGAATAAGAGAAGTATACCCACCATCTTTTCATATCTCTTGCTTTGTACATGTAAATTGATTTCAATCTTAAAAAATCTTTTTTTTTAAAGTCAAATATTATTTATCTACTGAAATAAAAGCTGGTAAAGACAGTTTTTAGAATAGACCTTCGATTAGTAGTTTGAAAATAGTTCTGTAACTTTGAAAACTTCACTCAGTATATTATTGACTGGTTTTGCACGTTTGTATATTAACTCTTCATTTTTATCTGAAGAATAAACTTAAAAATACAAAGCATCTTGAATAAATGCACAATACTAGGGATCTTCTGGATTTTTGAACTGCTATTCTGCACTTTTTGTTCACTTTTTAAATTTTATTTTTATAGTGTTATCCATGCTCCATTGCCAAGTCCTGTTGACAAGGTAATTCAGGAATTTGCTGTTTTCTGCCTTATTGAGCCACATACTGTTTTCTGACTTGTTATAAAGATGAAGAAATGGTGAAGTCCAGTTACATTTAGATATGTTTTCCATGGCCTGTTTTTACCTAGTGACCGTTTTTGAGTGAAATTTAAGGTAGAGAAGGTAATGCAGTGTCACAGTGTATGTTTTAAGGTAGCTTGACTCCTTACTGTATGGCATCTGAAACATGGCTTTGAAAAAAACCCGTTGATGTTAAGATGGTTACATTTCCAGGTAGAGGTTGATTAAAAGGTCTTGAGTATTGCACGATTTGATACTTGATCTGTTCTGAGGGATCCAAGAGTAGCTCATGATTTAGTGTTTGGATGAGGTCTGTTGTCCTTGTATCTTGTTTTTTATGGAGAAGAAGCTGCACTCCACAGGGGCGAAAGTGCTGTGGCATGTTCCAAAGGAATATTGAGACCAAACCTCTCTGCTCCTCTTGTACAGATGCAGCCACAGTCACTCACTGTAGAGTCATGGAGTCAGTAATGTCTAGTGTAATTTTTAAACTCAATTCTGATAATGTGAGGGACTCGTGAGCCTACAAGAGTTAGTAAGTAAACACATATGCCACAACCACCCCCCTTCCCCCCAAGTGCAGAACAGTTTCTGTGGCTGAAGAAAATACAAAGTAAGACTTAAGAAAAACCAGGGGCTTTTTTAAGCCTGGCAGAGGTGGTGGCACCACATAGTAAAACTTTCTTTAATTGCATGGGAACAGAATTCAAGTAAGCTGATGGTGTTAATATGCAGTAAGAACAGTTATGATTAGAGATGTTAAAGGAATTCCCCAAATCTGAAACAGCTGCTTAAAAAGGGCAGCGATGAAGATGGTGACGAGTACGTGTGATGAAATGTGTGTGTGTGTGTGTATATGACGATAACATTGAAATGGAATGCGAGAGACTTTATTTTAACTTCTGGAAACATGCAAATTCTGGATTTCTGTTTGTCCTTAGGTTAAATGGCTTCAACTTTGTGCACCTTGTTTCTTTTTTGTCAGCTTAATCTCAACTGAAACAAAAGCCTTAAACTCTTAGTGGTTTGAAAATTTATAAGAATGTTAACACAGTGGGGCCTCAGTCCAGAGTTTGGAAGTTCTGTGATTAAAAAAAAAAAAAAAAAAAATAGTAGCAGAACGATAAATGATTGAAAATGCCAGTTGTTAGATAATCTGAAGTTTACTTTCATGACTAGATTTAAATGATGAATTTTGCATTACTTGAGTTGAATGAAAAAGCCAAAACCATTTTGATTCTTAAATTCCTTTATTTTTCAGGTTGCTGCTAACACTCCCAGTATGTATTCTCAGGAATTGTTTCAGCTTTCACAGTATCTACAGGTAACTTTTCTCTTGACAACATTAGTTTGGCTAAATATTTAATCTTTGTGCAAGACACAAATCTTTGTGCTCTGTGTATCTTTGTTTAGCTTGCATTTTGTCAACTGGAACATGATAAGCATTTAACTACCTTTTTCTGTAGTGAAATAATGTAAAACATTATTGCCCAGAGAGGTAGTTGATGCGTCATTGGTGGAAATACTCAAGATCAGGTTGGACAGAGCTCTGAGCAGCCAGATCTAGTTGAAGATGTCCCTGCTCATTGCAGGGGAGTTGGACTAGATGACCTTTAAAGGTCCCTTCCAACCCAAACTATTCTATGATTCTATGTTGTAATTGAACATAGTATAGGTCTATGTAAATTTTTGTGGTTTCGCGTGAGCAGTATGAACTATAACTTTTGTAAAAGAAATATGAAAGCTCCTCGTTTTATAGAAGGCTCCCTGAATGCTGTATACCTGCTTTTCCTGTCCCTTCTCCTATCCTATCTCGTTGTCCCCAATTTTCTTTGGCTCCCCATATTTTTGGCATCATCTACTGCTGTGAGTGTACCATGTACGTGTATAAAACTTATGATGGAACAAAAGAATGGCAAAAGGACATCATTTTATGTGTCAAGAACTAGTTTGTTTCTGTGAATATAGTTTCTTAGTGTGAATATTTCTGTCTCTGTATTTGTTGGAAAGTATAAAGGAGGGACAGTGCTGGCAGCTGCTCTTCTTCATGGGCATCACCAGCCTTTCTGTGCCTGCTCCTTTGTCAATTATAATAGGTGTGTTTTTCCCCAAGATGTCATGTCACGAAGGGGTTAGACCACAAAATGGCAACACATTAATTGTGGGCTAATATATATAAATAAACTATTTAGAAAGGATCATAAAATCAGCTTTCTGGAAAAGATGTGAAAACATTATTACTGGTAAATTTTATGTAGCTTTAATTTATGTATAGTTTTACTGACTTATTTTGCTTGTTTCTCTTTGGTAATGGAAACTTTTATTTGTTCACATCAATGATGAGGCTTTTGAGATGAATGCTAAGATTATATATATGTATGCTGACATAGAAGCAGCAGCTCAGGCAGATGCTTTCTTGGGAGGCCAGATACATGCTCACTCACCAATCTTGTTCTTCCTCTGTATCCTGGATTTGTTAATGAAAGTGCTCTTCTATCTTACTGTTGTAAAACAAAAATGAAACAAAACCAGTAGTTCTTGCTTAATATTTTTCTTTTGTGACCAGATTTGAGGATGAACACCTCATTGCATGGGAGCTGCCAAGCTGCCTTTTGATGTTTGCAATTTTGTTACTCAAATTGTTGACAAAAGTCAAAGCGTTTTTTAGGTCCTGGAAAGAATAACTTGTTACTGTGCGTACTCAGCATGTGCAGCATATGCATGGAAAATGAAGGTTTTTAGGAACCTGAGGTTATATGTTAATGTTTTCTAAATAAATTATCCAAATCAGTGTACGGACGGCTCAAATAATATAGGCTTGTTATAGTTTTGAATATGTGAAAATATTTGCTACTCACACTTCCTTTTTTTCTTGTATTTTGGTATCTCTTGTGTTGCTTCTGTTTTTCTGAGTTGTTCTAGCTGAACTGACTGGTGCTCTGCTCTCTTCGTAGGAAGCCTTACATCGGGAACAAATGTTGGAACAGAAGCTGGCAACCCTTCAGCGATTACTTGCTGTCACGCAAGAGGCTTCAGATACTAGTTGGCAGGTATCTGCAGGCATCCTTTTCCTTTATGGACTTGAAATACACAGTAGCATATAAATTTTAGCTATTAATTTACAATAAAGAAGAAGCAGCAGAAAGAATAAAAAGCTTACAGGGATTCACTTAAACTGCAAAAGGTAACATTTAATAAATTTAGTGATTATATGCCAGTTATTAGTAGTAAGTACTCCAACGAAATTAAACTCTTTAAAGCAGAACTCTACTGGAACAACATAAAGCACATGATAATACTAAGGTGATACTTCTTTTCTACTAGGCTTTAATAGATGAAGACAGGCTGCTATCAAGATTAGAGGTTATGGGAAATCAATTACAGGCATGTTCAAAGGTAAGTAGTTCACTTCAAGTTGAATGCTAGGAATGCTGAAAGATTAGTTAGGAATAGGAAAGTAGTTGGAACATAAACTTTACGAAATGAGCCTGTGCAATTTTGGTAATCTGAATAACAAGAAAACTTCAGGTCTGTTCTGTATTTCATGGAATCACTTTCAATCTAGGTGAATGGCTATTTTTCAGCATTTTTTTAGTGTGAACTATTTTCTTGGTGTATGCATATAAACATCTATGAACTGAAATGCAGAAAAGGAATTTCTGTTGTCAGTGAGAAGCAATAATTCTGTCCTGTTTCCTATGGATGTTTCTTTCCAAATAGGGATTTGAAAAAAAGGCATTATCCATGAGCTGTCTGATATTCAGAGACAGGGTAACAAGTGTGCCCTGCGTTGATTGTTGTTTAGGCCACCTATGCCTGACTTTTTTTTTTTTAATTTTATTGTGTTTTTCATTCCTCTCAACTACCTACATTATAATAACTTTTTTTGCAGGTCCTGTTTGAAGTCTTTCAGATGGAACCTCATAGGTTTTTCCTTTGTCAAATTGTAGATCTCCTAGGTTTGACATGGTCTTAGCAGTGTCCAAAAAACTCCCATAAGCTTTTCTATAATAAAAGCTGATCATTGAATGTGTACTGCCGTACATACATGTCAAAAAAAAACCCTGATTTACACTCAATCATGTCAAAATCTTTGATCACTGATTTGTCCATGATATTTTTCTATCTACTAGAAATTACTGAACATTTTGGAAAATAACAGGTCTTATCGTAATCTAGTATATTTAATCAGCAAAATACTAATTTATATTCTTTGTATCTGAATTATCTTATACATACAGAATCAAACAGAAGACAGTATACGAAAAGAGCTTATAGCATTACAAGAAGACAAACATAACTATGAGACAACAGCCAAAGAGTCCCTGAGGCGGGTCCTTCAGGAGAAAATTGAAGTGGTCAGAAAACTGTCTGAAGTGGAGGTATTGAAGTTTCATGCCTAGTCTTCTGGAAATGCTGAAATAGTTACAGCTGCTGCTACTTATATCCCTGTTTTTTGCGTATAATGCACAAATATTTGTTGTAGTGTGGCACTTGCAGTACATTAAGTAGTAGTGTGTTTTTCTCTTATTGGACAGTACTTAGATTGTTAAACAATTGATGAGTAACAATTCTTTAAACTCTACCTCCTTTTCTGTGAGATTTCAAAATTCATGCAGCTGTCTTACAGAAGTTAGTATGCGTGAGAAATAAGTGAGAAGAATTGACATATGTATGTTAGAAAAAATGCTGTTAGACCTTGTTTAAACTGTAAAATTTATCAAAATGTAAGCTTAACTACTTACATAAATTACACTTAAGAATGAGCTTTTAAGATTACAAAATGTTAGACACTTTCTTCAAATCAAATTTCTGCCCCTATAAATATCTCTCATTACTATCTTTCCATTATCATTATTTGCTATGCCCATTTGGTCAAGAAATATCGTTAAGACTTGCAGTGCTCAAAGTGTCTACCCTCTTCATGCTTGTTAGAGAATGTGGTGCATATAGTGCTGTAATAAATGATCTTATGAGATTTCTGTACCTTTTTATATTGTAATAGTTCTTGACATGTTTGTTAATGGTTGGAGTTTTATGTTTACTTCTAGCTTTCTTCTCCTTTGTGATCCTATACTACAAGAAGAATCTTCTAATTTATTATACCATTTCTTCTTTGCTTTGACTCTTGAGGCAGAAATATTAATTTAAGAGATTTGTTTGAGTGCTTCCTGCCACATAACTTGTCTCTTCATGCAGAAGAATCATTGGCTCCTGTTTGAAACTTGTCCTTTAATAATTTTGTAGAATGTAGTTCTAAATGCACTTTTTGTTTAAAGGTGTTTTGGTCTGTTTTGTTGGTGAAGAACTAAGTCAGAGCTTGTTACAAAAGAAACCAACCAACCAATCAAACAAACCCCTCCACCTCCCCCCAAAAAAAACCTCAAACCACTAACCAACAAAATTGTGTGAATGAAGAAACAAATCTTGAGCTGTGAGGAGGAAACTCTATACACCATTTAGGTGTGCTGCTATCACCAGCTGATGCAAACTTCTGGAGCATTCTCTGCTTCTTGAAGACCCGGGTGCCTCTTGAGTAAGGGAATCTTAGTTTAGATGCCTTTCCACATTATGGAGTTCAGAAGAAGATTTGGAACACTTCTTTGGAGCCATTTGGCTTATATAATGTGTTCAATCTTCTTTTGCTGAATGAAAGGTATGATGAAATCTATTGATTACGTTAAATCACAAAATATTATAAAATGTACACAGTTTATCATAAAACAGAAGAGAATGGGGGAGATTGATCATGGTTCAGTTCTTTATTCCCATCAATCACAATTAATTGTATAACCTGTGGTGGTTTTTTGGTTTGAGGTTTTTTTACACATGCATGAAGCTAATATCTTTTCACAGTCTGTTCTTTAAGTAGAACATTACAAAGATGTGTACAAATAGTGTTTTTGCCAGGACTCATTCTGTTTGTTTAGCCTTAATGATTAGGAACAAAGCAGTTAAATATGATTAGTTACATATACTGTTTGAAAAAAGTAGATCAACATCAGTGTTTGGTAGTTTATTCATCTCTATTTTCTTTTATTTATTGCATAATAATTCTGTTTTACAGCGGAGTTTAAGTAATACAGAAGATGAATGTACTCACCTGAAAGAAATGAATGAGCGGACTCAGGAAGAATTAAGAGAATTAGCTAATAAGTACAATGGAGCTGTAAATGAAATTAAAGATCTTTCTGACAAGCTAAAGGTAAAGACAGAAAATCGTCGTCATCATCATTAAGATACTATAATGCATGGAACAAATAAATACAATTTAATTTCTAATGTAAAAATCAAAGGTTAAGAAACTTTTTAAACAACAGGTAATTGAAAGAAGGGTGCACATAATCTTTTACATGTTCTTTTGGTTTACATTTCATGTACTTGAAAGCGTCATCAGTTGAGTAAATACTAAAAAGATTCCCTTTTTGTTCACTTGGAAAGTTACTATATTTTTGGAGCTGCACTGTATTTTAATATAAAATTAGGTATGGTATAAAACTTTATATTCAGCTGCTTTTATATAGACAAAAAACTTTCAACTTCTTGCAGTAAATGGGAATGAAAACTAGAATTAGAAATAAATTTGTTTCATGTTGCCTGTTTGTGCAGTTACGAACATAACTAGCCTACCACATGGTAATAATATGGCTCAGCTTCCATGGGGAAGGAGCATGCTATCAGGTTTGTTGTTAAACTAAAGGTCTAAGTACATTAATATTTAAAGATCCTTTATGATGGAGAATAAAATAATCACAGTATGATAAAGCCTCTTCCCAAAAAGTCTCCAATGTGGAAGAGGAAGGTAGCAGTGTTCTCTTTGTAGACCTGAGACAGTTGTTGAATTTGTCTTGGATAAATACTGGAATTTGAACTTAGGTTCTTTGAGTTCTGGTTCAGCACCTCAGACAGAAGATTTTTCTTTCCAAATTAAAATATTAAATTACTGGTCTTAAGGCCATTGATTTCCCAATTATGAGTTAATCACTGATGATGAGTATACACAGAAGGATCCAAATTCAAACTTACTACTCAGCTTTGAGGGAGTATAGTCTTTGAAACCTATTATGGAATCCAGCAAGGAAAAAGATGAGACTTTCAATGAGATTGGTCTGTGCAATGTACATTCAGTTTGGAAGGACTCTTGGGTTTTGTTTGGTTTGAGATGCTGGGAGACTTTGAGTGTTTCTGAGTTCTTGGACCCTGATATTATTCCTGTAAAACTTAGGTTCCTCAGACAAAACGTTAGTGAAACTATTTTGGGATTCTCTCTCTGTTATTGTGCTTGAAGTGAAATTTATAGAAAAATTAACAGCAGAAAAATTTTGCATTGTTTGTGTTTGCTTTATCTGACTAGCACAAAAAGTTACTTACACACATTTAGTTCTACAAAAATGAAGGAAATCTGTTCCTTTACATGTTAATTTTGTTTTGTTTGGGGGTTTTTTAAATCTTTTTTTGAGCAGGTAGCAGAAGGAAGACAAGAAGAAATCCAACAGAAAGGACTGGCTGAGAAAAAAGAATTGCAGCATAAAATAGATGAAATGGAGGAGAGAGAGCAAGAGCTTCAAGCAAAAATAGAAGCTTTGCAGGCTGATAATGACTTCACCAATGAGCGGCTAACTGCTTTACAAGGTTAGTCACTAGTGGGGAAGAAACTTTTAGTATTTGTTTTTCTTTTAATCTGTGAAATATCTTTTTCTTGGACTTCTGTTTACAGTACGGTTAGAACACCTTCAAGAGAAAACTCTTAAAGAACACAACAGCTTAGGTAGGTGTGATCAGTTTCTTGTTTCAAACTGGTTTCCAGACCTTCTGTTCAATTTCTTTTCTTACCACACCCTTGTCTGCGTCTGGTAGAAGCAAACCCCTGCGCAGCTTCTGCCGGTAGCGCTCCCCGAGGCGGGGGCTGTGGGCGCAGCGCGGTGCCAGCCGCGGCGCGGGTTCTGCCGCGCTCCGCGGAGCGCCCCGCCGCGCCCGCGCTTCGAAGGGGTTCGAGTACTTATCTATCAGAAAAGGCTTTTTTTAAAAAAAAAAAAAAATATGTAATCGGCAGTGATGCTTTGGAGGATAGCGTCGTGGTTTAGTAACCTCTTACACGTTTGAACAAACAGGAACGCGATCTGTAGCCTGGGAAGGCACATTAAATTTTGTCTGTTTGGTTTGATTGTATCAGATACTTAGAAGGAGGCTGTAGTATGAAAAGCCAGATGCGTTTCACAATGCTGTGTTTATAAAGAAACAAAACCCAAAACGTTTTTCTTGGTTCCAGAAATAATACCCTTTCTTAATCCTAGGCATACAAGTTGACGACTTCATACCTAAAATTAATGGGAGCACAGAGAAAGGTAGTGTATCTTAAGGCTACCTTTTGTCTTACGGTTGATGTTTGAAGTTGAACAAACTCAAAATGTTATCTAAAGTTTTACTTTGAATAATATTATCTTAAAAAATGAAATTGAATTTCTCCATTCCTCTGACCAGCGTTTTTTTGCTTAGACTTTCAGTCTAGGTGTTTTTAGAAAGTTCTGTAAAATGTAATAAGCCAACCTGGAAGTCGTCTTTCCCCACCCCCCCCTCTTCTTTTCGGGCTCTCACTGGAATCAGTAGGAGTCTAAATTAGTCAGACTTGTGATGTAAGAAAGTGGAAAACTCATTGACTTTTTTCCTCTTAATTTTGTTTTCCCATGCAACACAGACACATACAGTTTTTCTAGTAAATTGAGTATGATAAGTGAAGTCAGCAAAACATTTTTTTCTAACAGTAATGTGTGAAAAATATGAGTATATGAAATATATAAATAGTGGAAACTGACTTTTTAAAACTCAGGAGTGTCTTTATGTAAAACAGGAACAAATACAGATCAAACTAACTGATAGGGTTTTTTTAAAGACTAATTAGTTAAAGCTAAGTATTTCAACTAATGTGTCTTAACATACACTGGAAGTTTTTTTAATAAAATTGTCTGATGAGACTATGCCCAGTATCACATATAGCAAAGATTATTCCAGTTTTAATTCTAAGATCACTAATTTGTTCCATTGGCTAAGGTATGTTTGTCCTCTTATGTTAATTTTAAATTTTTCCTTGATGTAGCTTTCTGCAGCATTTGCTGTGTCTTGCTAGATAGCAAAAGCTCTGAGGAATGATGGTAATACTAGTTGGAAGGTTGGGGCACTTATATCGAGACCTCGTAGTTTTAATATTCACAGTGTTTAAGGATTTCTGCATACATTTTTGAAACAAAATTTTAAAACTCTCTATGCTCTTTCTTAGCTTTTATTTTTTTTTGTATTATAAATGAAGAGCTTCTTAACTAGGAAGACTAATATAGCAAAATAAAGGAAGTTAACCATGGCATAACATATTTCTTATTTCGAGCAGGAGGAGACATCCGTTAAATACTGACAGGAACTGTACAAAAACCTTTGCTTAATCTGAGTACTAGTTATCCCCTAATGTTTTAGCATTTTAGGCACTTAACTGCGATGTATGCTGAGATAAGCCAGAAGGAGACTTAATGTCTGTTCCCAGTTCTCTGGGCTGCCATACGTTGTTTTTTAGATTGATCGATCCATCTTGCTGATGCATAATCTTAGGCTGATAATAATCTTAATGTTTGATAGAATGGATAAGAAATAGATTTGCTTTTGTTTTTTTTAAAATCTTTCACCCTGGAAAACAGTTAACTTTAGAAAGCAAAACTGAGGTACTATACAGGGACTGTGATTATTCTAATCATATACACCGTAAAGAGACTTTGAAAGTTAGGTTGTTGGAGGTTACTAGAAAAACATGCAATGTAAATGAAAGTAGCCTAGAGCTAAATTGAAGCATTTAGTAAAAGCTTTCAAGTTTTGAGTGCAAATATGTATTGTTTTAGAGAAATAATTGGTAACATCACACTAAATATGAATTTTTTATCAAACACTTTTTTGTTTGTTTTAAAATTGTTTGCAGGAGTATCTTGTTAGGTGTTTTTTTAATATTGCTACCTCTTATCAGTTTGAGTTTAAAAATTGTGTGAAATATTATTTCAAATTTGAATTTATTATGTGATTATAACAAATATCATTGTAACACTGATATTCACTTTCATGTTGAAGTTGAGGAAGCAATCCCTTTTTAACTTATTTTGGATTGCATAACAGTCAAAACGTCATCTGGATGGATGCATGAGAATATAGATTGCTCCATCCTATGAGTAGCAGTAGAGCTTGTGCTTAAACCTGGGTGTTTTAGGAAGCCGTCCATCAATTTCTTTTTCTTGATGAATATAGACAACATATAACTGCTCATTCAAGTTGTCTTTCTGTGTGTTTATACAGTCTTTCACCTTTTTCTGTCATACATCTGCCATGCTATTTTATTTTTCTATATTTTAATGTAGTTTTCCATGTTTTCCAGTATTATGTCTGTTGTACCACATTCTTCTGCATCTCTGCCGTATCTGGTCCATCCACATTACTCTGGCATTTCAGAGCTTGCTGGCCTGTGTTCTCTTCATGACAGTCTGTGCCCTTCTGTATCTTCCTGCCCTTTATCTAGTCCTCATATAATGACAGATGGGCAGTAATTTCTTCCGCCAGATTTTGGATTTTGTTGTCTTGAAAGCAGCAGGAGGCAGTTACTGGTTTTTTGCTGAGTAGTCTTGCGTTATTTCAAGAAGAGCCAAGAATTTAAGGATTATAATGTAGATTCAGCAACTTTGGCAGTGGAAGAGGTTGTGGATATCTTGTGTAAGGGAAGGACTTGACAGTTGAAGTCAGAAATTCAAAGTTTTATTTTTTTCTGCTAAATAGCCTGTTAAGGGTATTAAAAAAAGTCTCCTCTATCTGTATACAAAAGTACACACACCTCCTCCCTTCATCAGAGGAAAATGGTGGTAAAACCATGTAGAATCACTATGCTTTTTAAGATTCCTTTTGTCTCTCTATCTCTCAAAACTTCAGGTCAAGTCCTCAAGGTATGTTTACAGGTATACTACCTAGGATTTTACATTATTTTTTTTCTGTGTCTGTCCATAACTTTAAGAGCTGTGCTTTGAGTAGAGCCTCTCTAGAGTCTTTTTATAACAAAATGTATTAAGATGATGATGATTAGGCATTCATCTTCTCTCCTTGCACATACAGAAATTCTGGTGCAAAAGAGTTAACTTATACATCAAGCCACTAATAAAGGTTGTGTAGAACTGAGTTATCACAGAATCACAGAATGTTAGGGATTGGAAGGAACCTCAAAGGATCATCTAGTCCAATCCCGCTGCTGTAGCAGGACCACCTAGATCGGATCACACAAGAACGCGTCCAGGCGGGTTTTGAACATCTCCAGAGAAGCAGACAGTTCTTATTTCAATAAGTGGTATGTTTCTCAGTAAGTTGCACCACACCTGGCTTTCATCTTTAAGTTTTGTGAGCTATATATCATGTAAAGAAATACATGATAAATTTGTGTATAGTCACTCAGAGAGTCGTGTAATAACGCTTAGAAAAAAAAAAAGTTTAAAAGGGAAGATAAACGTGCTGTCTTTTAAAAGCCCTGTCCTTGTAGCTTAGAAAAAAGTTTACTTTTTAGAGTAACTTTGGTACATAGTAAAGCTTAGTATTACATATTTGGTCTTAACAGCTGAGCTTCTGCTATCAGAAGCTAATGATTGAACAATTTTATTAAGAATGTAATGCATTTTGCTGGTTTGTGTACTAAAAAGCAGCCTTTTCAGATTGTCAGACTCTCGAGGTCAAAGGATTTTTGTGGTTCTGAAGAAAGAAAGTGGTAGCACCTTTTTACTTGAAGATGCAAGGTTCTGATGGAGTTGGGAGCTGAATAAGGTCACATAGAAGGACTTGGGTAAACCTGGAAATTGACCCAGTTTAAGGATCTCTACTGTAGAACTGTCCTTCTTTCAAAAATTTTTGTTTCAGTGCAGTGAAACTTTCTTTAAAATCTGAAGGGAGATATTCAACAGTGTTTTCAAAATAAATGTTTTTGCACTTCAAGAGGGTATTAGATATAAAGAATAAACATGAAGACTAAAGAAAAACTTGTTAAATGCCCTTTTAAAGCTCATAAAATACTGAAGAATGTAGGTTAAATATGTGTTTCTTATTACTTCCGTGCTTGGATTTGGTATTTGCAGTTGTCTGTGTCTGATTATGAATTAATAAATGGGAGGAACTAGAGATGTCAGTGCTATGGAGTTGCATGTTTCAGTAGTGTATCCTATGGAAGCATGGAAGATGTCCCTGCCTGTGGCAGAGAGGTTGGAACTAGATTATCTTTAAGGTCCCTTCCAACCTAAATAATTCCATGATTCTATAATATGTATCCTAAATTTGTTGTGATTTAAATATCACTTATGTGCGTTAATCTTTTTGCCAAAATTATGAAGTTGTCAATGGAAATGTAGTGGAAGTCATTTGTCACCACCTAACCTGAAAGATCCTTACAGCAAATGCCATATGCAGAATGTTTGGACTTTTAATAATTGGTTCTTACTAAATTTTATTAAATTAAGTTGAGTTTTTTTAAAATAGCTTCTGTTGAGGTAAGGGGCTATTTATTACACTTAAGAAGTGCTCTTAGATTTTAGTATTTAGGAGTATCCTTTGAAAATGCGATTAAAGTATTTCTTTCTTTGTTCTGATCAGTTCAAGAGTAATCTATTTTCTAATATCACTCAGACATCATTTCCATTACGTCTTGTCTGCTTCCATATTAACTCAGATTTCAAAAGTTCATTGTAAATACACAATTACGCATATTGTTAATATGCCTTTCAAATTTTTTGTTGCATCAATTTGAAAATGATAAGAAGATGTAAACATCAGTGTTTCTTTCTTTACTAGAGCACTTTCTTTCAAAGAGTGGAGGGGACTGCAGTTTTATTCATCAGTTCATAGAATGTCAGAGTGAGTACAAGAGTGTTCGTCACATTTGCTTTAAAAACAACAGAAAACCCAGAAAAGGTGGATAAAAAAAACAGAATTTGTTACTATTTAATATTTCTGTGGTAGCAGAAATTTTCTAAGCATGGAATTATGGCATTGTGGTATTAGGCAGATGCGTGTAGTAGTAAGAGGGTATCTTTACTCTTACAAAGCGGTGATTATGTTGTCTCTTTTAGCAATTAATCCGTTATTGTCCTCCAACCAATGTTGGAGGACACTGTTACACTCAGTGTTTAAAACTGAGTGTAATTTTTCACCTATTAAAGTAAGAAGTTGAAAGCCTAACACTGTCAGTTGAAGCAAACATCACAGGCAGCACTAGGACAGAGACAAGGTAATGACTATTTCACATGTCTATAGTTTATCTGATAATTAAAAGTCTTACACATTCCTCAAGTTA